TCCTGGCACACAGATTTAGGCGCTTCAGAATATTTGTTCGGCCCTTTCCTGGGGAATAAAAAACGATCAAGAAACAAACGCACCAGAAAACATTTTTCAATGCCCCCATGTCCAAAGTGTTGGGCCAAGGATGCTGCGCAGTGGTCTCCTCGCGATGATTTTAACTGCCGCGCATTGATGCAGAAAGCCAAGCGGGCAGGTGTTCTTGACACCTTGTACTCACATGTCCTGACGGACTTTGACCCGTGGAATTGACAGCGGCCATTTGTGTCGCAAGCTTGGACATGAAAGGTCCATAAAACATTGAACGGTGCCCGTAGCAGACGTACAGTGAGGTGCCTTCCAGACACAGCGCAGGGAAAGACTGAAACCAGTCCGATTCCATTGTATACAATCATTGTACACGTATGACCTTCAACCTTGGAAAGCGTTTGTTTCAAGTGATTTCTTGTTTGGTCTGCGTTTGCAGGTGGGTCTATGCGGTGAAATATGCCATGTGCTTAGCATGGACTGTGCCCTTCTTGTCTTCAACTAATTTTGATGAGGTTGAACAAGACATCAAGTGTCAAGCGGTGCTTCGGGCGAGGATGGCCCAAGGAATGCTTCATAAGGGGGACATCGAAAGTGACGTCCGCGGCTTCAGCGCCGCAGGTTTGGATGCCTGTGGCGTCACTGCAGGCTTTCCATGCCAAGTCACGCCAACATGGTTGTTTTCGAGTGCGCAGTTGAAATTGATACAACGCAATAGACAGAAAATAAACTAGCCTCGAACTTGATACTTTGTGACTTTTAGTCCAGACTGCTACAGTTACATTGCTTTGACCGGTTGATGCTTCCGCATTTGGATGCCAGGGGGTGTCCAACGCAGGAAGTCAACATGGGTTGAACGATTGCAGAACAGCCCTTGTGGAGCACGTGTGGAGGATTTTTGATACTTTGGATGATCCGCTGGGCACCCTAGATGTTTTTGATTGCAACAATTCCAACACCCGCAATCGATTCACTCTTCAGTTGCCCAGGCGGTTTCTCCTCTTGGAGAACGTTTTTGCTTTGCTAAGCAAGAAGGCGGAATGTAGAGAAACTTTGGCCTACGTTGTGGAGGCCATCATTCCGGATTCCGGCTGCTTAACCAGCTATTCTATTTAAACCAAACCAAACCAACCTCAATCCAGATTTGAACAGGACTCTCTTATTCACACTTTTTGGCAGGAAGCTTCCAAACGGGGCTTGCAGACATTCTGGGTGAGTGTTCGGGTGTCCAACGTGGGCTTGCCAGTGGGGCGACTCAGCTTTGTAACAGGCATTGCAAAATGGATAATAATAAGCGAAATCTGCAACGGTGAGGCGTGCAGGGGACGAGTCTTCTTGCTTTGCGCGGACAAGAAGCATTCTTTGTGGCAGGACAGAGCATTTGGCCAAGTGCATCCTGTCCATTGTCATGTGATGTGTTTTTAGATTTGATCGATCAGTCAGCGTGCCCAGTCAAGTGCATCCTGTCCAGGCCCATTGTCATGTGATGATGTGTTTTCAGATTTGATCAGTCAGCGTGCCCAGTTTGATGTTGTTGGACAGCGTCATATTCCCTCGCCACAGTGCAGCTGTGACAGGACTATCGCTGTCAGAGTGTGGAGTCGCATTGTCAGATCCCTTGGCGCCCAGCGAGCAAAGAGCCTCTCCATAAGTGGCTGTCCCTGACTTCAAATGAGAGTGCAAAGGCGCGATTAAAGATGATGGGAAACTTAGTGATTCCAGCGCAAGCTTCCCTAGCATTTGAGTTGCTGATTTCCATGCGGCGAGCTGCCACTGGTTTGTGAGATAGAAACATGGCTTACGAAAACCCTAATTGCTTGAAGAAAATGTCTCAATAACTGCAGTATTGGAATCACAAATTTGTTGAGGTTTTTTGGTGCAACTGCTGCGTCGTGGATGAACACGTTGAAGTAATTGGTGAAATTCAATGGACTAATTCAACCTCCCAGCCTTTTGCCGAGAAGTGATCCTTCGTCGAAAACGGTGCAGCCGGCCGCCGAGTGGTTCGTCCGACGTGTGAGTCATCTTTCGCGGGAAGTTCTTGCTGACAGTGTTTGGACTGGTGATTTTTGATGTCGGGTCAGAATCTGTGATAAATACATGACATGTGTTCCACCCCTCAGTTTGCCCAAGATCTTTTTGTTGAGAGTGTTGCTCTACGATGGCAAAATCTACGCAGCAGCAACGTCGTCGCCGAGCAGCGAAATCAGCGGCTGCAGGACCAGGACCGAAATTTGAGAAACTTCTTTAAAGCTGATAGCTGACCATTGGAATTACTATACCTATTCCTTCTACATGTTTATGGGTCACGTGGCAGGACGCCCAGCGGTGGAGAACGATGACTTCCATTTGTGCAGCAGTGATCTTGTGGAGGCCATTTTGGGTGGACCGCTTCGGTACTGGAATTGGATGTCAAACTCGAACTCGAACCCTTTGGTTGAATACGGCCCAAAGTTCCCTCCATATTATGAGAGTCCAAGTACGGTATGGTACAAGATCCCAAATTCAGTAATGGTAGTACCTGTTTTTTCAATGCTATGCCCACTTCGCACTTATCATTTTTTTATAATTTCTTCAGGACAAGCTTAGTGGACCCACTATTAGTTTCAGGCATCGTTCGGCAAAGTTTTTGATGAATAGCTATAAGACTTGACGACAGGTCGCTTCGGAGCATGGCTTTCTGGGAAAGCCTGATACGATCGTCCTTGGCTTCCACAAGCTTGAAGAAGGCCATGCGCGTCTTTGAGTCTGAGTTTGAGAGCATTGGTTGCTTACTACCACTAGTCTAGTGAGTTCTGGGAGGTATCATAGTGTTACAAAGCGAGAAGTGTGGATACTATAAGAGCTGGAAGAATCAGAAGTTAACATACAGGTTTTTCCAACTTTACACGTTGCTTCTCAAGCGTGGCCAGGACGCCTGGAGGTTGAAGGCTGCGAGACCATCGACAGGTGCATCTTTTTGTATGGCGATGATGCACTCCCTTTCAAGGTCGTGCAGCTCAGCAAATATAACTGCTTGAACTTTGAGTTTGAACTTTACAAACCTCAGTGAACCAAAGCAGTGATGTTAGAATGAAATCAACATATTCTAAGGCGGCCCTGGGTTGCGAGTGCGAACGTGGTTTTTCATTTGCGAACGAATTTATACATGTTCAGTTGTTGATGCTTTATATCGAAGTTCGAAGCCCAGGATGCTTTTTCGGAACGCTGCACTTTTCCCAGAAGTTGGCAAATCCATCGCCTTCCCAAACACGGACGAGGCTGTGGTGTTTACGTGCGACAGCTTCAGCACAGAGGGAGGCGCCATGATTTTGATCCCTGACGAATCAAAGGGCTTGGAAGACCCCCCATCCGCTCATCCCGAACTGACCAGAAAGTTGGGTGTCCCTGTGATTAACCTTGGATTGGCCAAGTACGCTTCGTTGATCCGTGGCACTACATCATTTGAGCTTGTTGGTGTCCAGGTTGGAAAGTTGGATGATTTTTCTTTGTGTCATCTCAACCTGCTAATTTTCCACTTGGAATAGGCCATGAGAACTGACCCCAGAAAGTCTAGCCTGCTACCTCCAAAACCTGCAGTTTTTGGCTAATTGAGGAGACTTTCTGGGGTCAGTTTTCATGGCCTAATTCAAGTGCAACATTAGCATCTTAACCCTTCAATGTGTTTATACACCATTGATTTTTTATGATAATGATTGTTGTTTTGTTTCCAAGGTTGTTTTCATAGCTGGATATCTGAACGTAGCGCCTGAGGCTTTGGTGCCTCCCCCGCTGACAGCCGTACTGTCATGGACAAGATTGAGTGAGATGCCAGATCAGGGTTTTTGGCTGACTGACAGCAGGCCATATTGATTGGTCAAAGTAAAGCTCAGCTGCGATTGTAACGCCTATCTTATTTTTAGCAGTTTTTGTTAGTGGAGATCAGATCAAACAGAGATGCTTCAGGGTATGATCGGTGACCCGTCAGGTATTTTCAGAGACCATGTTTTTTGTCCAAGCAGCTAGCAGTGACATAAAGCAACAAATGAAATGAGTAGACTAGATACAACCAGACAAGTTCATCGGTGTTTTTGTTTTTCCAGGGCTCACAAAAAAGATATGTCATTGGTTAATATTTGAGAAACACGTGATTTGTTCAACCGTTGCCAAATTATGAGGTTTCTTTAGTTGCTCAACGCCGGGCGGTCGTCAGCTAATGCCGAAACATGCATCAGTCGATTGCCTGAGTGATTCAGACACAGACTCTGGCTTGGAGGATGATCATGATGATGACACTGATCAGGAGACAGCTTCTCCTGTTGGCCACCAAAAGCGGAAACGAAAGGGAGGTGAGTCAACTGAGAAAGATGCAGTTGACAAAACCTCGGAGATGTATTTGCGATCCTTAATAGGAAGACATTGCAAATGCAAAAAACAACGACGGACTTGTCTGCAGCAGTTTGCTGCGCCTGACCTTTTCCAGAAGCTATCAGAGTATCGACGGCACTGGTTTGAGTTGGAGAAACTGGACCAGGACAATTTCGTTTCCTGCTTCAAAGACTTTTCAGGACATGTGTGTTTCCTGCTTCAAAGATTGCTGATTGCGTCTATAGTTTCTTGCTTTGAACAATCTTAGCCGGGCCCTCCAAAGTCGCTCTGGTTCACTTAGGCTTTGGATCGGTTGAAGCGGCTGCTTAGAGACGGAGATGGTTCGGATGGACATGCCAGTTGCACACTTGAAGGTCGACCAGTCTGTCGAAGGGCTTGGAAAACATTGCACAGTATGGGTGGCTTGACAGGGTAAGTGCAAACATGCTTGAACTGACATCTTTTGCTTTCTTCATGCCACTATGATTTTTTGGCTGGTTTGAGTTTGAAACACTTTCGTAACAAGGCTGGAGCTACTCACAACATATACCTTTTCCTGTCCTGCTTTTTGGGTGCACCTGAAGGTGATGATCGGCTCCGGAGATTATACAAAGCAGCCCAAAATGGCGCTGTATCTGCCCCAGACTAGGCCCTATTCTGACAAAAAGGGCCGTTTTGACGAGCAGGTCAGAGGTGATGTGGTCTCCTACTTGGGATGTCTCTATCATTCCGTGGCGGAAACCCTTCCCGATGTCAGGGATGATGCCTTTGATGGAGATCGCGCTGCTTTTGTTGCAGCTGGTTTGACTGATGAGTATGCCATCGAATTGAACAAACAAGCGACAGCTGACCCACAGCCTGAAGCGTTGAACCTGAATCCAGACTCAAAGAAAAAACCGAGAAAGATGTGTAAGGGTGTCAAACTCAACCCAGATCGCTTAGCAGGATCGCCCACAGAGGGTGGCATGGAGATTCGCAAACTCCCACCCGGCTCGATGAAGGAATACCATGAACAATACAAGATTCAGTCACCACTGCAAGCGCCAGCAAGCTTCCCATATTTTTGGCGGGTGCCTTGAAATCAGATTAGCAATTGATGTGTAACAATAACTGACAACTGGCTGCTGGATTTTTAAATCTAGAAAATTACGAAAGTCCACCCTTCTCGGATTTTTTGTTGGCAGCCGCCTTGGTTGGTGACTTGGCGCTTTCGCAGGTTTGGGTGTCCGACTTTGGATTCCTTCAGTTTAGAGATCGTGGGCAACATGCGCAGTGCAGTACCTGTGTGCGGCACAGGGCAATGATTAAAGGCTTAGGCAACCACCTGGCCGCAAGGCGAGAGCAACTTCGGTTGTTCCACCTTCACCTGAGAAGTCAATATTTGGACAGAATGTTGTATTGGGAAGCTCGTGGGATATCACGCCAACGTGGGCATTCCGTCACAATAATTTGTGACGGAATGGATCAATCAAAGTTTGAGCTCCCACGCCATCCGTTGATGGTCGGGAAAGAATTTGGAAACATGAATAGACCACGGATGCACGTGGTGGCCTGCATCGCTCACGGAAGATTCTGCATGTTTATAGTGTCTTTGCCGGACACGAAGAAGGATGGGAGCGCAAGCGTGGAGATCATGTCGCACGCCCTGACTTGTCTGGAAAGGCAAGGGTGTCATCTCCCATCGACGGATTTGATTTTGCAGCACGACAATACATCGAGAGAATTTAAGAATCATAACGCCTTCCGGTGGGCCGCCTGTCAAGTGGCTAGATGGCAGGGGTTCAGATGTTTTTGGTGTGTTCTTAATTTAGATTACAAGGCTTGACGTGAAATGGTAATATTGTATGATGTTTATCCCGTTTATCACCCACATTTTTCCCCAAACGTGTTGCTCTGCTAGGTAGCTTGCAAGAACGTGCGCAGCATCACGTGCCAGTACCTGCGTACTGGGCACACACACGAGGACGTGGATCAACTATTCGGAACTTTGAGTAAATACATGCTCAAAGTCCGAGACCTGCAATGCCCAGCCGACCTGGTCAAAGCCATCACAGATTTCTTGGTCAACGCCAAGATGCCTTTTGAAGCTGAGCGGTATGTTGTTACCATGGATGATATGAGGGACTGGTGATTTGGCTTACAGTTTCAAGAAAAAGAAACGCAATGTTTTCGCGTTTCGAACCATGTAACACAACTTGCAAGAGGTTTTTTGTGACTGGTTGCTCCAAGCAACGATCCTACCATATCAATACGGACTTTTATGTTTCATGCTGGTAAGGACTGGCTTCTTGGCTGAAGGGGTGCCCTTCAGGCTAAAGGGCATTGGAGGAAGTGGTGCCCCGCATTATTTCAAATTTGAGCGACGAGCAGATGCAGGCATGGCAACGGTTTTAATCGTTAAGCATCGTTTGAAGGATTGATGGACGCTAAACTCTAGTGAAGAACAGCTTAACGCGTCATTTGAGACTAAAGTGCCAGAACCTGTTAGTGTGCAGTCACAAGGTTTGGGGCGGTTTTCAAAATTTCTGTTAGGTTTGCAGAGCCACGAGCTGGAGAGCATCTGGGATTATGCAGAACATCCAGATGATGTGGTGCTGAGGATTGCCTGCTGCAAAGTTGATAAACTTGAAGAATGGACCAAGTTGAGTTTTGCTGGGTGTATTTTTCCGCAGGACTAAGCAGTGGATGGCCAGCGGTGACTTTAGCCTGACAACTGTGGCGTATCCGAAGCAGCTTGCCTTAGACCGACTACCGATGGGATTGCCCATAGGCCCGGGGTGAACTAAGCTAGTCCAAGTTGACTAGTAGTTCAAAGACTATTCCTCTGATTGAGCAAGAGTAGTAGTACGTGAAACGCAGAGATTGAATGAACACACGTTTTGTTTCGAGCGCCAAAAAAGAGACAAAGACTGGTAGTGGGCTTGCAGATTCGTGTTTGTCATGCCAACTCAGCAGCCCCTGCAGCTTTGAACTCGAAGAGAGACCTTGGTGCGGAGTATCGAGACCACCTCCTGAAGTTCATCCCGGCCCTTCGCTACCCTTTGTTTGGCTTGCATAGAGCCGCAGATTGGTTGGAGTCGTGGGTTCAAGGCACTTTCGGGAGGGGGAGCCTTTTGGATGTGGATGCGTGCCTGGTTGCAAGAATTTTTGGCCCTTGGTTTCACTCGGGTGATTGCTTCTTGCTGGCTGACAGGAAAACATAGTAAGTCTTCTAAATTTTGCGATTGATATGTTTTGAGAGGCTTGCCGGGGTCGGGTACAAGCTTCAATTTCCAGGCCTCCGCTTGTAATGGTAGTCGTTGCTCTTAAAAAACATTAGTTGCTTTTACACACGAACTTTATAGTAGCAGTCAGTCTGTGACAGAATCACGCCCAATTATTTGGACGACACGGTTTGATGCTTCGAGAGGGTTTTCCAATTCCAGTGCCTGTTTGAGGGCGCGGTTGGGTTCATATATCCCCCCTCCTCGAAAATGGAGGATCGAGGGGAGGGTACCTTTAGGAATTCCATTTTAATATTCCATTTACACAGCCAACATGTTTCCAGTTTTATCTCCGCGTGGCCCCGAGAAATTTTGACAAGCGACGCGGTTGAATGGGAAAGAGGCTTCAGCAAGCTCACTGAATACAAGTCTGAGCATGGAGATGCCAGGGTGCCCACCAGATTCAAGACTTTTGATGGCTTTCCGCTTGGGCAGTAGATTAAGACACAGGGAAAGAAAAAAACAGTGCCAAGATCGTGTGAACCGCCTGAATTCACTTGACCATGCTGGCATGATTGAATATGATGGTCTTGCTTTGAATGTAGCCAAAAAAACAAGGAGCATCGCTTACGCCCCGCGGGCGTAAGCAACGCGACCTTTTGGACGGCAACGCGGTCCCACTGCTCGGAGCTCCCTGAGGGTCCGCATCGCTTACGCCCCGCGGGCGTAAGCAACGCGTCCATGCAGTGTATTAAGCAACGCGTCCACGCAATGTAAATCAAGGTTTTTTTGACTTAACGCTCGATGTAACAAGATATACAACCCAACGCTCGCTTGTTTTGCACTTCGAAATACCAGATACCTGGACCCCTATCCAATGCTTTTTTGTTCTCGACCAGAAACAGGACGCAGCCCAAAAGAGGCCAAAAAGATGACGCCAAAAAATCAAAAACGCAACCCATACGATGCAAAATATGATGCAGAAAGTGCAAAACAGGTTGGGTAAGTGCAGGCTGGTGCTATGGACAACACTGAATATCACTGGATCTAGACCGTTGCTAATGCATCATCAGGGTCAAAAATGGATAATCCATTTTCTGTTGGGGGTCCGACCCCCCCACCCCCTTAAATAGCAGGGATGTTCATATATAAGGTAGAAACTTGCCTGATTAGCCTGAAGGTAATCAACTAGTCCATTGACCACGCAGCAGTGATAGAAACGTGGACCATGTTCATGTTTTTCAAAGCATTTAAAGACCAGTGGTGAAAACATTGAAAATAGGTGTGTTCTCCACCATTTGTGACCCAGGTGCATGATCAAGACTGGGGCGCGAAGACCAGCCTCAAAACCCGAGACCCCTGTGCCTGATGCTTTCACCATTCATCCCAATGATCTCCGGCTTCTGGTCTTAATGCAGTGCATTAGAATCGCAATCAAGCTGTGAGACATTTTCACACGGTGTCCTTTTATCAAGACCTGTTGCTGTGCTGTGATACTTACATACTTACCTTCGCGGAATTTGTTCATTCCACGCGTTGCCCTTCATAACGGCTGGCATGAGGCTGATCCGTGGGCACACGGACAAGGATGTGGTAGCTGCATATGTTTCAAAGGCCCGGGTGCGAATTGTGCACCAAACGGCTGCCAGGGCTTGGTCTTTAGGGGTTCCTTGGGCGACTGCTTTGAAAGCTGCTGAACGTGCAGTTGCTGCAGGAGATGCCGTAGCAAATCCCATTGCGAAACGCAAGGGGAAAGGAAAGGGAAAGGGCAAAGCCCAGAGATAACTAAACCCATTGCAAAACGCAAACGAAAAGGAAAGGGAAACGGCAGAGATAGGAGGGACATGTTTGATCGTGTCGTGTGTTTGCTTGTTGGGACTCACGAATTTCCTCCTTAATTGTCGGGGTCCTAAACCCTTTTCGTTGTGAGTGCTGAATTTTTCAGGTGCGGCAGTGTAGTTTAGGGGGACTTTGAAAATTGGTGAGGACCCGGGTCGGTCACAAAATTGGCCCTGTGGGCACATGGCAAAAAGTGTCGGATCACAGGTCGGATTGGACACTAAATCATACCTTTTGGCTAAAACTCACCCCCCCAAAAAAAATTAAGGGTTATGGAAACTTAGCAAAATATAGCCAAAAGTGTCCGATCACACCTGCGATCGGACACTTTTTGGGGTCTGCTGCCCACATTGAAAAAGTGTCGGATTTTGCTTTTCAATAAGTGACGGATTTTACTGTTCAAAAGTGACGGATTTTACTTGTTCAAAAGTGACGGATTTTACTTGTTCAAAAGTGACGGATTTGACTGTTCAAAAAGTGTCGGATTTTGCTTTTCGAAAAGTGACGGATTTTACTGTTTCAAAAGTGATGGATTTCAGTCTTCAAAAGAAGTGACGGATTTTTCTTTTCAAAAAGTGACGTATTTTACTTTTCGAACGGTTTGGTTTTGTTTATTCAAAAATATTCAAAAAGGTATTGGAAATTCTACAAGAAAAATACAAAGCCCATGTTTTCGTTAAAAGTGTCCGATTGCACCTAGGATCCGTCACTTTCTGAAAAGCAAAATCCGTCACTTTTAGAAATGCAAAATCCGTCACTTTTTGAAAAGTGAAATCCGTCACTTTTTGAAAATCAAAATCCATCACTTTTAGAAAAGTGAAATCCGTCACTTTTTGAAAAGTGAAATCCATCGTTCTTTGAAATGTAAACTGTAAATCCGTCATTTTGTTGAACATTCAAATCGTCACTTGATAAGCAACACCCATCATTTTTTGAAATGTACAATCCGTCATTTTTCAAAAGCAAAATGAGTCACGTTTTAAGAAGTAAAACCCGTCACTTTTGAAATTGCAACATCTATAACTGTTAAAGTCTATAACTTTTGAAGTGAAATCCGTCACTTGCTGGAAAGCAAAAACCGAAAGTGAAGACAAGTCGTCAAGACACTGCAAATTACTTCTTGCGCGGGCGCCTTTTTGGAAGGTTTTTGGCTGATATTTGCAACCTAAAAAGGACACCCTGTGTGATGACTCATGACATTTGAAAGGCCTTGACGTTGAAATTGAATCAGGGAGTCTGGCTCTTTTGGCACTATACAAATGTTAATGGTGTGCAAAGATTAGCTGTCTCAGTCGCGCAAGTATAACAAAACATGATTAAAATGACAACGCTGCTTTAGCGTTGAAGATCCCCGAGCCTAAACTGAGTCGATCCTAAGTTATTGCGCGTTGGACATGTCATGTTTCCAGTTTCACAAAATGACATTGAACTTATTGTTGTTGCGTTACTATCGTGAGCACTACTAACTATTGACTATACTTGGTCCCATTTCCGCTTGGTCAAAATTTGAAATTTGGGTTTGGAGTCAACGAAGTTGCTCGTTGTGGGGTTCGAAACCCGGTTTGTGGGGTTCGAAACACTGGCGGTTCGAACCCCACAAACCCCTTGCCATGACACTGCCAGCTTGGGTTTATCCTTTCTTGCTTTTCAAGCCACCACACACACAGAGTGAAAGGGCTACGAGTTGGAATGCGCACTGGAAAACGTTTGAGAGATGATCCTGATTAAATTATTCAGATGTTACTTCAACGGCAGGTGCAGGAAAGAGCGTTCATTTATTCCTTGGTGTCACCATCCTTGTGGGGTCGTAGCCTTGCCTTGACGTAAGCGGTTTTTTGGCTCGACCAAGGCTGGCTGTGGCTTCAGTAAAAGCCATGCCAGGAAAGCGGAAATCAAGAGGTGATGACGCCTTAGACCGCGCCAAGTCTGCTAGACTTGATGGGTTCCCGCACGTTGCCAAGATGACCGAATGGTTTCTAGCTTGCGAAAAGAAATTAAATAGAAGTTGCTGCACTTGTTTCGTACAATGGCCCATCCACTTCAAGGCTTATGGGCACGGTGCTTCCTCAGGGCGGGCCCGATGACTATTTGACCAAAGCCTATGACACGAAGGATTCTCTCCATACGCTGTTTATTGTTGGCCGTCCAGAAGCAAACATTGTTTCCACCATTTCGTACGTCGATTCTCAATTCAGCACCCCTACTCAAGTATTCCAGGAAAAGATGGCTGAATTTGCATCATGGATGGACCGCTATTGCCCGGCAAATCCTGCGCCAGGGGCCAAGAAAACTCTTTTAGTTTCTGATTGGCATTGACTGTGCTAATTAAAGGCTGTACCCAGAAGAGTTGACTTGTACTGTAAGTCACATCATCAATCATAAATCCTTGTCGTGTGTTACGAGGCTCTCCTGCGCTACGAACTATGATGCTGCAGCAGTGCATTTGAGACCCCATATGTTAGCCTGGAGAGCTGACGCGGGATGCTCCGGATTGATAGAACCGGAGCAGGCGCAAATGATCATGGAATTGATAATGACTGAAGGGTTTCTTGGGCTGACAGATAAATTTCCAGTTCAAATAGACGTTCACTTGAAAGCCGTTTTTTTTCTCGACTTCCACGCGAACCTTGACAGCCTTGCTCTGAAGGTTTTTGTCCAATCCGGACATCGTGGGAACGCAAAAGGTCGCCGTCACGAAGATCCCCGCTGAATTCCTTGACTCTGCTTATGAGGAATGTGCCTCTCTGGATGGTTCTTGGTTTGCTATTAAAGTGCTCCGGGTTGAATTTACTATTACACACGACAGTCACTATCGCAAGGATTCAGATTCAGTGAATAACAAACTTATAATGGATTTGGAACGCACCATGTTACTACACCTAATTTCTTGCGTGGACTTTGCGCGCATGACTTCACATATCAAGCAAAGTTACCAAACCGCGCCAAACCGTTTTGTCAGGCTGCACCCTTCCGGCATTCAGCGTCGGATATACAAAGGGATGGAAACGATCTGTCATGCTCCTCCTCTCCCTTCATGCGCTGCGAGAGCTGGGCTTGGAAGAAGAAGTTTCTCACTCCATCAAGGAGAAACTGCTTGTTGCTGGTTATTTCATGCCTGAAATGTCAACTCACTCTCTGTTGTTTCAATTGGGAAGCAAGCCATGCATTTGGTGGCAATTTGAGCAGTTCTGGCAGCGCAGGCGACCTTTGGAACGATCTATGCAACGTTCCAGTCCTTCAAGGACGTCAAATCGCAAGTGAACTCCAATAGAGGCCCTTAACCTGCTTTCTGAGTTTGCGTTATTAGCTTGCAAAGACGTTTTGAATTGAAATGCAGGCTGGCCAGTGGCCAGTGATGCCCTGACTTGCAGGCGTCTCCTTGATGCAGCACTCAACCAGGGTGCGACCGAATTGTTTTCATTTCCGCAGGCAGGTGATAATCCTACAGCGATGCGGTGGGGGAAGTGCAGAGCGACAATTCCAGGACTGGGTTTACTTTCTGTCTATGGGTAATTATATTGTGTAAAGCTCTTGGTTTTGCTAAGCGTGCCACGTGAGGTTGTTTGATCTTTTGTATCTCGAAGAATCACGCCAACCAATGGCAACCCAAATGTGAACAGGAATGGCAGCACGCCACCGCCGTGGCAAAGGCTTTCCAGATCGGAAAGGGCGAAGCAGCAGCAGTTGCTAATTTGATGACCAAAGTTCCTGCGTGCGCTGTGGAATTCTTGACGCAGAGTGTCAAAGCCAGGGGAATGTCGAGATACATGTCCCACGACATTTTGGGCAAGGACCTGTTCAATGCAAGTTTCTCAAGCGGCACCGGTTGTCTGGAACATTGGAAAGACCAACTTCGAAACAACGACGAACTGGTGACTAGGTCTTGCTAAAAACTTTTGGAGCCCTCACCACCTTACTTACATTCACTGCAATATGAGTTTTCAAAACGCATATCTTAGTTTCGTAAAACGAGAAAAACCTTGTTCAGGTGATGCTTTTTGCGAATCGGATCCAATCAGATCACGACCAAACTCCACCATCATTGCGAAAGGCGCTTACGCACGCGCAAGCTCTCAGCAAGCACCAGGCTTGCGCTGCGTTTTTACACTTCCTTGGGCTGCTTGAGCAAATGAGTCCCCCTGCTGATTTTGCGGCGGCCAAGAAGAGTTTGCTATCGCAGTTTCAATCTGGGTATCTCGACCCAGACTTGGCTCATGCGCTAGACAGCCAGTTTCCACCAGGTGATGCTGCTTCAGTGGGCGCCTTCAGGCCAGGCTTTTCCAAGTTCCAAAAAAATTGCATCCTTCAGAATTCGCATTAACTTCCCATTGTTGCTTTGAAATTTGGTTGAAGCTTCTTCGGGAGGCCCTTCATTGCTCGCATTGAGAAAGCGCAGAGGCTTGCCAAGGAGGCCCAGGAGCAAGAGGTGGAGAAGAGCATTCGGCAAGCGGATGTTAAGGCTGTGCTCGCAAAGCTGCAATCGGACCTTGAAGTGCTCGCTGCCCGCCTCCCTCAAGATGCTCAGACGGCCCTGAAGAATGCCAAGGACGTCAAGTACATTCGTGACAGGCAGAGGATTCCAAGTTTAGCCTTCAATAATATGTTGTTGGGTTCATTGGAATTGGTTGTTAACTAGCTTTACTCGTTCCATGTTTTCAACTTTCAGATCTTATCCAGCTTAGGAAAGGCGAGCAGTATGTGACCAAATGGATGGCAAAACATTGCATGCTAGTACAAGTGGAGGATGACTACTCAGGGGCTGTCTCAGCATTCCTGAAATTCCGGGAACAATTCAGAGGACGACCTGGGGATGAGCTGCTCGCTTCAAATATTAAGGACTGTCGGATTTCAACTTACTAGATGTGAAGGACTGACTTCATTTTTATAACTAACATCTTGTGTCACCGTTTTTTGCGCGTGGGTATGGGTCTCAACCCGAGTTGAAGTGAATTTGGTTTTAGGTATGCAATTGTGGGATTCGATGCGACAGTGTGGCCATCGAATGCAAGCCAAGTCGCAAACGCCACCCACATTTTGTGCAGCCTGCTATCAATGAGTTCGACCAACATCGGCTTTGTGCAATACCCGGTCCTACAATCCCAGACGAACCAGTCAGCAGTTGTGAAGCACCGCCATCTCCTTGACCTTGCGTTGTTGAAAGGAGGGCTTACTCTCAGCAACAACATCCAGGCGCTGTATACCAAGCCAGAATCGTCGCAAAAAGATGCTCGCAGTATGTGCCAACTGGCGGTTGCCTCCTTTCACGGCAACTTCAGCGATGCGTCGTTCTTGGAGTCTCAGGGAGTGAGATCTGGGAAGATCGGACCATGTCCACTCATCCGTGTATCGGACTTCCAAGGCTTCGATGATGATAGCAAACCCTCACCTTCCGCACGGGCTGAGCAGACTCTTGTAAGAATTTAGTTTTTGAACAACAAAACTCTTTATAGAATCGACGGCTAGGCCAACCAACGTGTGGTGGCGGGCGATCCGGCAAGTATCACGATCCAGTATCACGCAGTAAGTAGCAGGATTTCCGGTTTCCGTCGCGTGTCGTAAGACCCTGCTTTCATCCCGACTCGCTGCTTCTTGTGAGGAAGGGGACAGAATGCGCTAACGCTGCCATTGATGGCTTGTTGGATGGCATGAGTTTCAACGATTCGGACCGAGTCTATTGGGTTGATGTGCTGAGCAATGAGTAGCTTGGTGTATGGAATTGTCAATGGAAAGTGACGGTGGAACTAGGTTGTGAGTTGTTCAAACCCTGACTAGTTTGTTACAGCTCGCCAGTTGTTTCTGTGGTTGGGTACTTGGTTAGTCTGCCAGCCCACAGGCAGTTTTTATATTGTTTGTTTGTTTGCCGAGGCCGATTTAGTTGATCGCTTTTTCACTGTCAGCTAGCTACTACTTGGATGAGCAGGGGCCTGTTTTGTCTCCATGGTTTGTTGGCTTTGTCTGTTTTTTGTTAGTGTTGATCAGTTGGTTGAATTATTGGTTGCATGCTTCCTTGTTTACTGGTTGCTTGCTTTAGTTGCAAGTAGCACTAGGTTACCCTTTTGTGCGGGAAAACCAATACTGAAATTTAGACTTCGTTTTCTAAGTGCCTGCGGAATCTTAAACACGCTTCCTCCTTTTGACGTGGAATTACTATATGATCTCACCCAACTACTATGATGATGATAGAAATTCCGCTCTTTCCTTAAATTGCGCAAGGGTCTAAGCCTAAGCTTGCTGAACGCGTGTTCACCCATAACGTCAGTTGTTTCACTCTCCATTTAAAAACGCCGAATCTTCTTTGGGACCCACGCATAATTCTTGGTTTGTTCCTCTCACTAAAATTTGAAGGCAACACCTCAGGAATTGATAGCTCAGGTTGTTCACGTGGAGCCTTCAACTTATTTTATGCTAGCTCGCGCTGAATTTTCACGAAAGGTAGCCTGGTAAGGACTACCTTGAGTTTGCTTTGCGAAGCAAAGGGACTGGCTTGAGAGCCTGCTCGGGACTAAAGATTGGTAGATCAATGTCTAACACCCCCACCCCCCCCCCTCCCATGTGATGATTTATTGATAAATCAATTCATTCGACCCCCCCCCCTCCCCTCCCCTCCACTCCCCTCCACTCCCCTTCCCGTCCCCTCCCTTCGTCGCGAGCGCTACTAGCATTCTGGACACCATCACACCATAATAAGGCGCAGTCATGCGCTTAGCAGTCACAGCAGCGCGACGCTGGCCATGAGGTTTGCGCGCAATGAGGTTGCGCAATGCGTACTGCGTTCACAGACCATATTGCTCGACACCAAGGAGCATCTATGCAACACAGCCTCTCCGCAAAGCCCTGTGGAGAAACCTCTCGCTTCGCGGAACACCATTCGACTCAGCCTTATACCCTAGCGCGGCGAAATCTTACCGCATCGTGGAGCACCACTATCCTTACAAGGGGCTTCGACGCAACGCGTGCAGGCCTGTAATCCTGACACAGTGCGCGCAGCTGTGGGACCATAGCTGGTACACATGCGAGCGTTTACGCACTGCGACTTTTACGCGCGCCTGTTTTCACACACCTTTACACAAACGAGGGTCGACCCAACGCAGCCTCTCTGCAGAGCCGTGTGGCGCAATCTGACCGCAACGGTGTTCCTCTTGAGCCTTCTTGTGCTCTCTGGCTTTGTCGCTTTCATCCATGATTGAGCAAGGGGCACGTTCCAGAAACACCCCTCACCAGAAACGGTCCCGACAGCTACCCGGTCCGTCTCTACCTTTCGTGTTTCCCCGCTCAAGTAGTGATATTAACTTGCCTTGAAATGGACAAAAATACGATTGTATCTTTTAGATTGTCCCTTTCCAATTTAAATTGTATGTTTGCTGTGGCTGGATTTTGCTTCAACCCAAGGTTTGCAGAGTTTGGTCGCGCGACCATCGAGCGCAATTGGAAGGAGAACGCCAGGAAAGTGCTCTATGTGGGATTCCTCAATGCCAAGCAAGCGGCTCGAGCTACCAAGAAGTTTCGGGACTATGTGTACAGGCAATGGGACGATAGCTCAGGAGCCCCTCCAAAAACTCGACCTCCGGATGATGAGGACACACGGGTGGAGGTGCCGGAGCTCCAGATCCTTGCGTGGCAGAACGGGGGTCCGACTTGGCCTCCGACTTTGTCTTCGAGATTTGACGAGGGCACAGATGAGCACACTACTGTCATGGCTAAGAAGCTTGAATTTGAGAAGATGTTCCCACCCAGCGTGCGGGGCACAGCCAGCAAGCCAACCCGCGGACGGGCGCCTGGACGAGCAGGGGGGTTTTGTGACTTCACGGTGGACAGTGGAAAAGAGCCACTGGACATCACCAGGGCCATCTCTCTTTCTGCTGTTTCGGCGAAGGACTTTGAGTCGGAATTGAATGGGAGGCCTGGTCTTCCATTTTGGTAATATGACGGTAGGCGCGGTATGAGTTTTGATTATATAATATCAAGGTAAGTATTGCAAACGCAATAGAAACATATGATTCACATATTATGTGTAGTATGTGTGCGCGCTAATTACAATAAGCCAATTGATATTTTATTCTGCCTTCACTGGCTGATTGGTGGTGGAGGCTTGGCATGGCTGAAGGCAAGTCAGGGAAGCCGGCAGTCCTGATTGCTTCCAACCTCAATGTATGGTTGGGAAACCAGACGGGGGAAGACATGAACGTGCAGGCGCAAGAGCTCTTTGGATTTGGGGTTGGTGCATTTGAGGAGAAAGAAGTCCGTGCTTTGGCAGATTTTTTTGAAGGGCCAAATCATCTAGCCTTTTGGTTTTGAGTTTTCTCAATCAGTTATTAAATGGTAAGCGTGCAAGCTGGAAACATAGCAAGGTGACATGAGGGCGGAATCTGCAACCATTCCCTTTCGTTTGGCTTCTGATTTGGACTTGGTGAGCTTCAAGAAAGAGCTTCAACCGCTATGTCACTTCATGCGAATGCTCGCAATTGACAAGGGATTGGGTGAAGTCCAGATGGAAGATCATGATGTGACACAACGCTTCCTTCCACCTGAGGTTTCTTGAAACCCGAAAATGAATCGTTAGTTTCTTTAGCTCTTTTTCTTGGAGTCCTTGGTACTTTTCTTTTCTCACAATTCATAGCCTTGTGATAATGGATATTTGGCCAGCTAAGGCTGGCGCAGCTTCAACCGACCCTGCGCCGGTAACCTTTCGCTACGAGGTGAAAACAAAGGCCTCTATGGTGACCCACGTTTACCGGCCAAAGCTTGATGGATCAACTGCTTCGACAACAACTTTCCGGTCGCAAGCGCTTGGGCAAGTGTACTTGGGCAAATGAAGTTTGAAACAGAGTGAAGACAGTTTGACCATGAGAGCTATTAGTTGAGCCTTCAGTTTCTCCTGAACTTTATTCAGCCAATGGCTGGAAGGTATGGTGGCAACTTGCACAAGGTCATTTCAAACGGCCGTGCCAAGATTGTTTGGGAGGCTAGTGTTGTTTTTCAGTTCATGATGAGAAACAAAAAAGCACAGCTTTGCAGGTGGACTACACCGCTGCCCCGCCATTGATCGTAGCTGGGAAACCTAAGGTTTATTTGACGGCCAACGTCCATGCGCCGGCCAATTCGTGGGTAAACCTGTCTCAGTGAGGCCGTGCACTTGCCGGGTTGAGCGGACAGCATGGCTTTGTGATGTTGAAAGCGTTTTGTGTTGAGGTCTGTTTTTAGCTGTTTGCGATGAAGTGGTCAGACTCAGCGCCATCTTACCGCAGTTTTGACCCAGCTTGAGATGCCGCTTTGGGGTCCGTTCTGACTGAGTGGTCGCTTTGAATAACTACCAATATCATTTTCCAACACCTGTCGTGCGATCTCAAGAAGTCTGACGGACCCACCCGATCTTCCATTTTGGAAGGCTGATGGTAGACATGACAGCCGGCAGTTCGATCACCATGACACGAGCTGAAAATATTATGTTTGCGCAGTCTGAACCAAGTCCTGTACTGCCACAGTTTGGGGCTACTTTCGGAATGCGCCGGCTTGACGTCAGAATCGTTCAACATATGGCTGACCAATTAAATTTCAGTTGCAGCGATAGCGACGGTGCCCAAGCTTTACCGAAAGTCCAGAACGGCCAGCTTTGAAGCTTGTCGAGCCGATGCCCCTGGATCTACAAGTTAGTCAGCTGAGTGGTTCAGAGGCTCCCTGAGAGTTTTTTTCGATTTGATTTGAACGTTGAAGATCGAAGATCTGGAATCTGGATGTTTGCTTGTTTTCTTGTCAGGAGGAGCCAGCCGGGCCAGCTGCCAAGGCAAAAACCATGCCTACCAAACCGAAAGGGAAGGCGAAACAAGAGGCTAAATCAAAAGCTGAGCCGAAAGCCAAAACAAAAAACAAGGCAGCAAAGGCAAAGAAGGAAACGGAGGCAAAGGGTGAAACCCCAGGCTCAGGTTCCACAGGGAACGATGAGTCAACGAAGGATTCAAAGGCCGCTGAAGGAACAACAACTGAAAAGGAGAAAAAACAGAAGTAACCCCAAAGCGCTTGCCCATGAAACGCCCGGCTGCTGCTGTACAAGGCACTTCACAAGTCATGTGTCTTCTGTTGTTTGAATCTGATCAGGACAAATTTAAAGTTGCAGCTTTCTAGCTGAGAGTCTTTTGAGGCATCAAAGTCACCAAGCCTTACATGTACCCGGACGGTATCTGGGGAATCAAGGTGGACGGCAAACAAGTCTTGACGGTGTCCTGCCTGTATTTTTCAAGCGTCAGGAACATAACACATTGTAAGAGTGTGTAATCACTAAACGACGCTTTTACTACCAAGACTTTAAAATTATTCTGAGGTGGGCGGAAAGTACCGCAACATTGAGCGCTGCAAGGAGATTGCGGATATTGCAGCGGATGAATTGCGCGCCGGGAAGGATTTGAGCACTGTCAAATCCATGGTTGTCCCCTGGCAAGAGTTCAAATCGAATTTTAGGCGGATACTTACTACGCATCGTAGATTAGCGTCTAGTGGTAGTAGCGCTGCGTTTGTGTCTAAGGAACGGCTTCTCGGTTCCCCCACCAGAGTGTTGTTGGTTGTGCGCCCATATGCCATGGAGATTGTCTGCGGATTGAAAGTCTGGGAACTTCGCTCAACGGACACCAATGTACGAGAGCGGATTGCTATTGCTCTAGCAGGGACTAAAACAATCCTAGGAGAGGTTTCTTTGGTGGATTCATTCAAAGTGGACGCAGCTATGTTGCGAAACAATTTTGACAAGCATCGCGTGCCACAGTCAGAAATGGAGAAGTTTATCCGTGCCGGCAGTGGGTTTGCTTGGGTATTGGAACGCCCACGCAAGTATGATTTCGCGAAGCCATACTGTCATGCGCAGGGTGCTGTCAAATGGGTGCATATTAGACCGGAAAATGCACCTTGCCTCACATTGCTCGTCGTCATTGTCATCTCTCACTCGGAGTGTCGTTTTCACTTTCAACCGTTTTGCCTCCAACTTTTTCTGAGCGCAGTTCTCCCCAATTTTTTCTGAGTGCAGTTCTCTCCAACTTTTTCTGAGTGCAGTCTGCGTTCTGGCAGCAGCGCGTGTTGACAAGTATTGGTTGGCGTGTTTTTGTAATGCGATGCCTCTAAGCATGCAATTTGAATCGTTGAATTCCCTTTTTAACTCTGAGGCTGAGATGGTCGCTACTGTGGGGCCGAGATCTCCTGCGCAAGGAGCTGACAAAGCTGGAGAACCCGCGAGCGCTGCTCCTGCTCCTGAAGAGGATGAACAGGTGGCCAATGATGACGCTGAGGCACACGAAGAGGAGATCATTGAGGAAGATCCGGTTGCGGAGGTATGTGATGTCGATGCATCCGCGCCGAATGTTGACTAAGACATCGCATGAAGAAAGCTGACCAGCTTTCGACGGTGAAGTCCCTTCGGATGTTTTTTACGCCCAGCTTTTCACAGCAAAGGCCGTGCTTGGACGTGTCACCGCTCACAGAACACGTCGCTTGAAGGTGTGCTGCCAAAAAAGAGTCAGTGAGAGGCCATGGCCAAGAATTTTTTCTAGATAGGATTGGTTGAGTGGACCCGGAGTCAAACTGAGCGCATGGCACGCGCGCGTGGACATCATACGCTGTCAGGATCTGTCAGGTGTGAACTTTAGTAATTAGGCTACCTGTGTTGACCTGATTATATGGCGCGTCATTCGTTTTTGTTTGCCATAATAACAAAAAGCGAATCTATACCATACATATCCATACATAAGTGACAATAATTACTTTAAACATAGTAACCACTTTTGCAACGATAGTTTCAGGCTGTTGGGTTGGTGACAACTGCCTTCGTCCTCCTTGCCCCCAATTCTTATCAGCCTCTCTGAACCCCCTAAGTTGTTGTCTACGTTGTAGCTGGGCGCAAAGTAAAGCAAGTGATGCTCAAACCTTCCATCATGGATCGACTGGATCCTGCGGACGCGTTGACTGATGATTCTACTTGAAGCCTTTCCTGAGAGCGCAAATGCGAACCGCCAACTCCTGAAGCTTAGCTCCACAGAGCGCTTCTCAAGTGTGTATCACAGCTTCTTCCCACTGTGGTAAGCTGTGTGAACCCCATTGGGGGCGCTGCTTAGGGTAGCGTGATTTGAGGCCCTGATTCATTTTGAGACCCTGATTCACAGGAAATTTCCTTTCTACCTGACTTGCACACTTTCAACATCTTCGTGGCAATTTCCCGGTCAGTACTGGGAAAACGTGGGTCACCACGAAGGGCGGAATCGTCCTTGGTAAGACACTCTTGGGCCCAGTGATACAAGTCTGAACCTGGGGTCTTCTGCAACGAACCGATGTTCATGAGAACCTGGTTGATGTATCCCCGTGCTTGACCTGAATCAACTGGTATATTGGGCAGGATCAGGTTCGACAAGCCCTTGACATAAACAATCTCGGACTCATGCTCTGCATAGTCGGTGATTTCTGAACTAGCTGTCGGGGTTGATTCTACCTTACGATCCTCTTTATTCATTGTGAGGTGTGGACACCTAATCTCCCGATGCTTGCCCCCACACATCCTACACAAGTCCTCTACTTCACTATCACTAGATGAAGATGAGGAACTTGGGGAGCCACCACCATCCTCTTTCTTGGCCCGCTCAAAGACGGGGAAAGAAGGTGGCAAGACCCTTGCTCCTGGTTGTGGTGGAGGAGGTTGCGTCGATGACGCTGCAACATTTGCTGTGGGGTTTGGGTATCCGGCCGGCATCGGAGCACAGGCACAAGGTTTCGGACACGCACTTGGGACCTCAGTCATCAGACCTGGTGGTGGTGATGGCGTCATGCGAAACGGCATGGGTACCCCATGCTCAGGCGGTGGTGGTGCGGGAGGATGTCCGGTCTGTACCAATGACAATACCTGGTTTAACATCTCTCTCGTTTGACCAAGTTCACGCTCGAGGGCAGCAACATATATTGAGTCCCGTAACACAGGTGTGGCTCCACCGTGAGGTGTACCGACGGGCGTTCCGACATAAAATTCTTGCGGAGCCATGTGATGAAAACTCTTCGGAATCCGCATATCGACGACTTGAGCCGTCGTAGGCACAGTAGTGTGCAGGGCCGCCTGGAAAGGCGCAGCGAACTCGGAGCCTTCCACTTGGTGGCTCAATGTCGAACGGACACTGTGAAGGGGTTGTGTTGAGGGCGCCGGTGAGATCGGTGGCTCCTTTGGGGAGCTTGGTACCGGCGATCTTGCGGCGAGTTGCTGTGTGAGGTACGCGTTCTGCCTCTGCAGTTCGATGAGTTCGGCAGTCGCGTTTGTGTTTACTTGGTCTACATGGGCACGATATGCGGCTTCCACACCGGACGCCCACTGGTGAGCTTGTTGCTCAAGTTGACGCTGGCGTTGAACATGTTCACGCTGTTGGGACTGAACGTACTGTTCGGCTTGTGCCCTCACATGACCGACCATAGCCTCAGCTTGAGCCTTAGCTTGTCCTACCATGCTCTCAGCTTGTTGGCGAGTCTCATGGACAACAAATTGAGCCTGGGACTGGACCTGGGTCGCATGTTCTT